GAGGAGGAAAAGAAGGAGTTTCAGTCCCTTAAAAAACAGCACTAGTGTGATTCCTTAACGCACTCCAGGGAAGGCAGCTCTTGGAAGCCGTTTAAATGCCAAAGGAAGTTTCCAGTGAGCAAACTCTGCCGTGTTCGCATGACCTGTCTTGTGCTCCTTCCAGAGAAACCCTCCAAGCCCAAGTGCTGGCTGGAGGGGGAGATGCTGGAGGGGAAGGAGCTGTCCCTGCAGTGCCGTTCGGCCTCGGGCACTGCCCCCATCTCCTACCGCTGGCAGCGCATCAGCGAGGAGGACGAGAGAGCCGAGCACCTCCCGCCCAACTCCAGAGTCAGTGAGTCGGGGCTTCCCTTCCCTCCGAGCTCTGGGATCGCTGGGTGGAGGTGACAGTGATGCTCCAGCGCTCCTCCCACTGCTGCGGCTGCACCTGGGGGGATGCTCCGCCTTTCCCCCCTTCTTTCCTCCCTTTTCCCTCCTTCCTCCTCCCTTTTCTCCCTTCTTTCTCCCTTCTTCCCTCCTTCTTTCCCTTTTCTTTCTCCCTTCTTTCCCCCTTTCTTTCTCCCTTCTTTCATACTTTTTCCCCCTTCTTCTCCCTTTTCCCCTTCTTCCCCCCTTTTCTTCCTTCTTCCCCCTTCCTTCTCCCCTCTTTCCCCTTCTCCTTTTCTCCCCCTTCTTCCCCCCTTTTCTCCTTTCTTTCTCCCTTCTTTCCTCCTTTTTTCCCCACCTTCTCTCTCCCTTATTTCCTCCTTCTCCTCCCCTTCTTCTCCCCTTTGTTCCCTTCTTTCTTCCTCTCTTCTTTCCCCATTCTTTCCCCCTTTTTCCTTCTTTCCTTCCCCCTGTGCGCTGCTCAGGAGCTGATTTAAACCCCCGCAGATCAATTTGTGCCCCTGTTCACCGCCCACCGCCGAAGTTTCTCTCTCCATTTCACTCATCCCGGTTCTGTTTTCCCCTTGCAGACATCTCGAACCCCGGGCAGGTGCTGCTGAAAAACCTCACCCAGATGAGCACGGGGCTGTACCAGTGCGTGGCCACCAACGAGGCGGGCCAGGAGAGCTGCGCCGTGCAGGTGACAGTGCAGCGTAAGTACCGCCCCCGGGGGCAGGAAAAAAACCCACAAACACCACGGCTTTGTGTCCCAAAAGGGGACAGAGGAGTTCTGTAACTTCATTCAATTAAAGGGAAATAAATGGGGTATTTCCCTTGGGGTTTCTCAATTTTTTTTAAAGGATGCAGCCTCCTTTTTATCCCAATTTCACTGCCACAGTTCCCTCTCTCTATCCCATTGGTACTTGAGAGCTCCAGACTTCCCAAAAATACACCTACTACAAACCCCCTACTAATGTATATCCCCCCATTTTTCTTTTCTTTGTGTCACTCAGTGAATTCCTCTGGTATTTTTGGTTCTTCCTATTGTTTCTTTCATCTCTCAGTATCCAATTTTATTTATCAGCAGACTCAGTTTGTTTGTAAAGACAAATCTCTCATTCCTTCATCAATCATTGGGATCCTTCCCGTTGTTTCTCTTATCTCTCAGTGCTGGTTTTATCTACCAGCAGACCCACAGTCAGTTTGTAAAGACAAATCCCTCATTCCTTTCACCCCACCTGGAGAATTCTGTGCTGCTCCTTTGCCCTTTCATACTTTAATCACATCAAATAGTTCTTATTTATTGCACTTTTGATTCGCACAGCAGCTCTCACCTAAAACGATAACATCACAACCTGAGCCTAGACAATGGTTTTATGATTTTAGATGTCTGGGTCTGGTAGAAATGTGATTTTTCAGAACGATTCATGAAATCCAAGCAGGGAAAATGATAAGTTAGAGGTTCTTCTGGCTGGAGTGATTGCAGGAGGTGACTCTCAGGTATGAATTCTCTCTGTGGATATTCCATCACTCCAAATTATGCATTTGTTGCACTTGGGACAGCAAAATATCTAAAAGCAGTTGGAAAGGCTGACCGCGACATGGAATAATTTGCAGGATAAAAAGTAATTTTTGACATAGCTTGGTTTTAATCAGGTTTAGCAATTTATTCCTGAACAGCAGAGATCAAAATCCCCTGATTAACCCCAGGGAGGGTGTGTGCAGCTCTCGGCAGGGTGTCCTTTACATACCAGGAAAAGGGTGGAGTTTATCAGCCCACCCCAAACAATGGAGCTCAGCAGCTCTCAAAGCTGGGCTTGCTGTGATAAGGCTCCTAACAAAGGAGTCTCCTCTTGGAGATTCCACAGCTTTGGAATTTTTCTGCCCAGCCAAGCCTGAAATAACTGGAATATTGAATAAGGAAAACCGGTTTGCCTCAGGCACGTGAAGTAAAAGCGTCCAGGCAGCTTTTATGGCAATTGAACTGAACTGGTTTAAAACCTCACTTGGCTTTGCTAAACCCTCCGGAGGGACTGAGCTTAAGGAAACAACTTTCAGCCAAGCCCAACCTGATCACTTTTATCGAAAAATGTTGTCATAAACTATCAGCAAAGAGCCATAATCCACGGGAAAAACCTTGGCTGCTTTGGATGAAAAATGTCCTGCACAGGATGGTTTCCTTTCCTCCTTTGTTTTCCTCAGTCAGGTCAGTTTTCCCCCACATCTGAATAATTCATTTTGGAAGTGGTTTGGAATCATTCAAGGGGAGTTGAAGGGAAAACAAAACCCTCATGGGGCAACGTGAATAGATCAAACATTGCTCTGCCCCCGGGGTGCTGCAGGGCGCAGCGTTTCTCATGTGGGCTGTCCTGACTTTGTATTTTCTGTATTTTTATGAGCTTAAAAAGGGATTTTCCCTCCTCATTTCAACTCTGCCCCCCAGCTGAAGGCACAGCACTTGTGGTTTCACCTTTGCAGAGGTGATTGCTTCACTCCCTGGCAGCTCAGCTTTAGCTGAAGATAAACTGGTTCAACTTCTGTGGTGCGGAGACACACCTAAAAAAATAAACTCCAGCGTTCTGTCCTGAGTTAAACCCAGCGCTGGGACTCGTAGTGTGGACTAGAACCTGACCACACCAACATGGGGTCACAAATAAATTTATTTTTGGACAACAGATGCACAAAATATCGGCATGATCGCCGGGGCAGTGTGTGGAGTGGTGGTGGGGCTCTCCCTCCTTTTCCTGGTGGTGAGGTTGACAATAAGGAGGAAAGAAAAGAAGAGATACGAGGAAGAGGAGGCACCGAATGAAATCAGGTAACACCTTTTATTTAATCCCACCTCCCACACTCCCTTCTCGCAGTTTCCCACGTCTTTGCAGCACGGTTTTAACTAAGCATAAGCAGCTTTAAGTGTCTTCAGAGGTTGTTCTAAAAAACTCTTAAAGTCTCGGTGAAATATCACCGACAAATTTCTCGACTGTGAGAATCCTTGTGAAGACTTTCCAGAAAATTAGATTAAAGTCCCCCCCTCCTCTCCCCCGGGCAAATTAGCACAGACCTCAACCAACTGTTTTCCCTCACATTTGCAATTTCGGTATTTTGAAGCATTTGCATATTCTTTTATGGTGTTAAATTGAAGCTGCTTGTCCGTTGTGGTTCTGAGAGGGTTTAGGGGGTGGTTTGTGGTTCTGAGAAGGTTTGGGGGGTGTTTTTTTCTTTCTTTCCTTCTTTTCTATTTCTTTTTTTTTCCGTCTTTCCTTTCTTTCCCACTCGTCTTTCCTTCTTTCCCCCTTCTTCCTTCCTCCTTCTTTTCTCTCTTCTTTCCCTCCTCTTCCCACCTTCCTTCTGCCTTTTCCCTTTTCTTTTCCCCTTCTTTCTTCCTTCTTTTCCCCTCTTCTTCCCTTCTTTCCCCCTTTCTCTTCCCCTTCCTTTTCCCTTCTTTCCCCCTTCTCCCTTCTTTCCCTCGTCTCTCCCCTTTTTTTCCCCTCTCTTTCCCCTTCTTTTTCCCTTCTCTCCCCCTCTTCTTCCCTTCATTCCCCTTTCTTTCCCCCTTCTTTCTTCCCACCTTCTTTCCTCCTTTTCCCTTTCTTTCCCCCCTTCTTTCCCCCTTTTTCCCTCCCAATTGCAGCTCCTATTTGGCACACAATGAGGCAGACACATTCTCTGAGCCCTCCTTGAGCCTTTTGAACAACTGCTGCCCCGGATTTAGCTCCGGGTGAGCGCAGAGGGGAGCAGGAGCACTGGGAATGCTGACTCCTGTTCCTGGAGCTCATCTGTTCCCTGCCCAGAACTCCCCTAAGCCCAGCTTGGGCTCCAGCCAAGCCAGCCTAAACTCCTCAGGAAGGAAAGCGCTGGAAAGATCTATTTCCAGGAATGAGTTTGAGCTGCTGCTGCTGCCCTGGGAAGAAACAAACCCTTGATCCATCTTTATGTCTATTTGTGCTCGTGTCACATCTCTGCACCATCAGGGCCCTCTGTAATCCCTTCAGCCGCTGATCACTCCCAGGCTGAGGCACAAAGGCAATCTCTGCTCATTTCTTCCCCTTTTCCTGCTCCCTTCGCTTTCACATCTTGCCTTTCAGTTGGAGCCTCTCTGGTCTCACCCTTCCTGTTACATCCTCCCCCTCTTCCTCTCTCTCTCTCTCTCTTTCTGTCAGGACCCGGTTGTGACGCTTCTCTCACAACCCACAGGGGTGGTTTGGAGTGGAAGAACCGGTTGCAGGCAGTCGTGCCCGGGCCATTTGTCGCTGTGGCTGAGGATTGCAGAGCACACAGCTCCATCTGCGCCGCCTGCTCTGGCTGCCGGTGTTCAGTGCACACACACAGAGCCGGCCGTGAGCAGCGTGTGTTTATTCCAAATTCATTCACCAACACTCTGCAGGGCAATGAGGACTTGAATCCAGAAATTTACACAGCAGGGAGTTTGGACAATTTGCAGGATATTAAATTCAAGTCCTCCCTTCTTCTTCCGAGCAAATTAGCACAGACCTCAACCAACTGTTTTCCCTCACATTTGCAATTTCGGTATTTCGAAGCATTTGCATATTCTTTCATGGTGTTAAATTAAATCTGTTTGTCTGTTGTGGTTCTGAGAGGGTTTGAGGGTGGTTTTCTTTCCTTTCCTTCTTTCTTTTCTATTTCTTTTTGTCTTTCTTTTCTTTCTCCCTCTTGTTCCCTTCTTTTCCCCTTCTTTCTCCCTTCTTCCCCCACTTTTCTTCCTTCTTTCCCCACTACTTTTTCTCGTTTCCCCGTTCTTTTTCCTCTTCTTTCCCCGTTCTTTTTCCTTATTTTCTCCCTTCTTTCCTCCCACTTTTCTCTCTTCTTTCCCCTCTACTTTTCCTATTCTTTCTCTTCTTTTTCCTCTTCTTCCCCCTTTTTTCTCCCCTCTTTCCCCCACTTTTCTCCCCTCTTTCCTCGACTTTTCTTCCTTCTTTCTCCCTTCTTTTCCCTTTCTTTCCCCCTTCTTTCCCCATTTCTTTCCCCCTTCTTTCCCCATTTCTTTCCCCCTTCTTTCCCCATTTCTTCCCCCTTCTTTCCCCATTTCTTTTCCCCTTCTTTTCCTCTTCTTTCCCCCTTCTTTTCCTCTTCTTTCCCCCTTCTTTTCCCCTTCTTTCCCCTTCTTTCCCCCTACTTTCTCCCCTTCTTTTCCCCTTCTTTTCCCCTTCTTTTCCTCTCCTTTCCCCCTTCTTTTCCCCTTCTTTCCCCTTCTTTCCCCCTACTTTCTCCCCTTCTTTCCCCCTTTTTTCCCCTTCTTTCCCTCTACTTTCTCCCCTTCTTTACCCCTTCTTCCCCCCCTTCTCTCCCCCACTCCCGGTGATCCTCAGAGCCTTGACACAAACATTTCCCGTGTCGTTTGAGCCCTGTCCGTGTGTTCCCTCGCAGGGAGGATGCGGAAGCCCCCAAGGCGCACCTGGTCAAACCCAGCTCCTCTTCCTCCGGCTCCAGGAGCTCCCGCTCGGGTTCCTCCTCCACCCGATCCACAGCCAACAGTGCCTCCCGCAGCCAGCGGACTTTGTCCACCGAAGCCACTCCTCACCTGACCCCTCCCCAGTACAGCCAGCGGCAGCAGGACAGGAAAGAGGAGCCGAGGAAAGTGGATTACAGGATGGGAGCGCCCTCCGTGATGGTGCCCGCGCAGAGCCGCGCGTTCCAGACCGTGTGAGCATCCCCGGGCACGGGCAGCACCGCACCCAGCACCAGCCACTGCCAGAGCCACGGTAGCTAGTTCTCTTTTCCTGGTCACCTCAATCTTAATCACTCACGGATGTGGATTATTCACACCACGAGAAAGTCCTCCCACTCAATTCTTTCTGACTTCCAGCACTGAGGTTCTGATACGGACTTGAGTTGGATGGAAAAGGGAGTTTCTTTTTAAATTATCTTTTTTTTTTTTTTTTTTTTTTTTGAAAATGGAACCTGAGCATTTAAAACCTTCACAAAGTGTGAAGTGTACTTCACACTGTACGAGTGAAAAAAAGCCAAACCTCAGGATTTTTTAGAAGGGATTAACAGAGAGTGCATAATAATCCAGAAAGGTTCTGTGGGGAGGGAGAAGCCTCTTGGACTGATTTTGGAGAAGTCTCTCGAAGATGTGTTGTCTTAAGTGAAGATTTTGAGGCTGGGGGTGTCCAGCCTCAAAGAGAACTGACAGGTGCTTCACACTTTCTGCATTCAGTGAAATACTGGAGGCTGTAACTAAAGTGGAAATTAAAGGATCACTCCCGAAGGACAAGAGATGCAGCATTAAGGTGTCTGAACTCAACTCTGTACTAAAGAGAAAGGACCTTTTCTGTCAAGAAAACAGAGGTGCTTTAATTGCCAGAATCAACTTAGGGCCAGGAGCCTGACTCTGCTTGCATGGGCAGCACTGCAGAGCCACGGGAGCCCCTGGGGAGGGGTGGCCGTGGCTAATGAGCCTTAGGGAGAGGAGAACTGGGCACTGAACCCAGCAGGGAGGCAGTGCCCGACTGGGGAGGGACACCAATGTACCAAAAAGCCTGGATGGAGCGTTTGGAAGAGCTCTCAGTTATTGCCAGCTGGAGAATTGGCCGGGTTTGGGGAGAGCCAGGTTTGTGCTGGAGAAGCCTTATGGAAAGTTCTTCCCAAGACTGAACAAACTGCACTCCTGAGCTGACCCCAGGGAAGGCCTGAAGGATTCCCTGGCAGAGGAAAACACACCTGGGACAGGTAAACAAGCACCAAACGCTGCTCCCGTTAGGAAATCTTGGTGTGTGTTGTCCCACTCTTACACCAAATGCTGGGCCATGTGCCAGAGCTGAGGCTTAAACCTTTAGCAGGACTCTTAAAAAATTCCAAGAATTGTAAAAAAATATTTTTTTGTGAGCAACCAGGTTAAGCATTTCCACGGAATATGAAGTTTGGAAAGGATGGGAGGTAGGGACAGATGCAGAATTCTGTCGTTGATATTTTCCTCTGAAGGACTTGGCTCTGACCACTGCTACACACAAGACACTGAGCTTGTAGGTTCTAGATTCCTGTATTCCTAGACTGATGATTTTCTATTTAAAAAATGAGAGTGTTTGGGTTTTTTTTCCCACTTGAGGGAGGGAAAGGGTTTCTCCAATTTGTGGAAAGAGCCTACAGAAGATGGATGAGCACAGAACCACAGATCTATAATTCTTTCACTCCAGGGTTGTCATTAATCTCCTTTTCTGACTGAGACCCAGAATTCTAATTTCTTTACTTGAGATCTTTGACAACCTGATCAAAGGCAAGCCCTGCTCAGGCTACTTCCACATGGGAAAGAGCTTTCAAACTTGCCCTACACTATGTGAGAACTCTTCCTAGGAGCAGTCACTCAAAATTCCATTGCCTTCTCAACCCCAGATTTAACCCTTAGTAGGACAAATTACTGATGCTGTGCAGGGAAAACCATCCCAGTTTCAAATAATAATAATAATAATAATAAATAATAAGAATAATAATAAGGGGGACCTGGTACGAGGTGTTTGATAAGCTGCTGCCTCCATGCCAGTGCTGGGGGTGGATTCTCTGTCATTTCACCCTGGATGCTCCAGGAGCACATCCCTGGATCAGCTGTGTGTGAAGCAGCAGCTCTGTGTGTCTGTGATTCCTCTGCAGTTGTTTTATTCCTGAGCCCTGAAAGGTGCTCCAAAGCACTCCCAAGATGCTCCAGAGCTGGGAAAATTCCAAAAGCAGGAATAGGATGGTGAAAGCAGCTTGTGGGTGCTTTCTGTGGGTGCTCACTGTGCTGAACGTTCCCTGTGCTGCCCCTGAGGATCCTCACCCTGTGCACAGACCCAGGAGTGCTTCTGCCATGCCTGAGCCTCCAGGAGCTGCTCACCACAAACCCAGAGTGACAAGTCCAGCAGCTGAGCTGGCCAAAGGCTCTGGGGCAGTTTTGAGTCACAGCCCAGCCTGGTAATTAGCAGAGAGGAGGCTCTGCAGCCTGCAGGGAGGAGAATTTGCCCTGGCAGGTTTTCCTGGAGCCTCTGGGCAGCCCTGGCAGGCTGTGCTGCTGTGAAACCACTGCTGGTGCTGGGAGCTGTGTGATGGCACAGCCTGAGAGCTTTGGGAGCCTTGGGGAAGGCCAGGCAGAGGTGCAGTGCCCGAAGCCTGGGCTGGGGGATCCATCCTGGCTGCTCCAAGCCCTGTTGGCTCAGAATTTCCCAGCCCTGTTGGGGTGCAGGCACTGCCCAGGTATCTGCTCAGCCCACACATCAGTGATTCACAGGGAAGGGAAAAGTTCATCACCCAAAGGGAACAGGAGAAAGGGATCATTCTATTTTCCAAGCTCCAGCCAATCAGGAGTTGCACAAGGGAAGCAAATTAGCCAAACCCTGTTTTGTAAAATAGTGTATTAAAGCATTTACTGTCATATACCAGCTATTACTTGTGTGATTAAATGCCTACCATGTTATGTAGCTTTTTGTTTCTCAGCAGTTAAACTAAGCTTCCATCTCTGCTACCTGCTATGATTGGTGTACTTGTACTGTGTCTGAACAACTCAGAGGAAAGCAAATATTTATTATTGATTCCTTTGAATCAATGATTTAATAATTTTTTTTTTGTTGGTTGTTTTATAAATAAAGGTGCTGCAGCTGAAGTGCTGCAGCTCAACTCAACTCGTACCATTTTCTGTGGTGTGATGTGTTTCATGCTGTCAAGCTGAATCCAAGAGAGGAAAAAAAAAAAAAAAAAAGGATGGAGTTAAAAATACCATTTTTAAGCCAAGCAGGCCTATGTGCATATTTGCATGGGAAGCGTGGGGAAGCTGGGCTTTTTTTCCTGGGTATTTTTCAGTCTAAATTAGGTGACATTTCACAAAAGATGTGAGATCCCAGGTGGTGCATGGAAGCAAATGTGGTTTTATCTTCCACGTGGCCATTTCACCTGGGACATTTTGGCAGAGGATGCAGGTGCTGGAAGCCAACCTGGTAAATAAATAATGCCAGCACAACAAGCCCTGGTGGCTTCATCCTCGCCCTGCTGTGACCTTCCTGCTGAAGCAGCCCACGTGCTTGGCTTTCCCCATGGGCTCTGAGGTGAGGAGGAAACCTTGAGCTGTGTTCAGCCACTTCAGATCTCCTCTGCAGATAAACCCTTGGAGCCAGCTCGCAGGAACCCAGCCAAGGAGCTGGGGGTGGGGGTTTTGGGTAGTTTAAAGGTGCTGATGGTTGGTTTCTCTCAGCATTCTTTCCCCCCCAGGGTGTTTTGCTGAGGTGTCCAGACATCGGCAATCCTCCTTGCTGAAATCTGGGAGCAAAAATTGCAACATCATTAGGCAGGATTTAAAACAAAACAGGGCGATAACACAGTGGTCTCATAGGTGTGTCCTGTCTGCCCCTAATTCAAAAGCAAACGCTGCTCCGGGTCCCACTGGAGTTGATGACATTAAAAACCCTGATTAGGTGACACACGTTTTGAGAGGAGCTGTGCAGTTGTAGACTTTTGTACAGGATCAGGAATTTGGGGTTATTTTTAACCCGGAGCAGTTTGTCCTGACACACACTGGGAAGGGGGGGAACCCCGTGGGAAAGGGAAGGGAAGGCCTTGGAAATGTGATTTTCAAACTTCAGCAGAGGCAAGTGTTTTATAAATAAGTGCTGCTGTGGTGAGCAGGAGGAATGCCTTTGATAATCTCCCTTCTCCTCCCAATTCCGTTTTAAACACTGGAAGGAGAAGCAGTGCTAGATCCTTAATATACTAAATTAACTCTCAAAAATAACATTTCGATACACAATTTAGAAAAAAAACCAAAACCTCCACAGTAAATACTTAAATTAAATACTTAAACTGGTCCAGTCTGCCAAGGTTTAATTTCTGTGATATCAAGTTAACGAGCTCCTTTTGTCCAGTTGAGGAGCTTCTAATTTCTGCTGGAATGAGTCATTTGCAAACTGCCCTCCTCCCTGCACTGACTCACTGCAGTTTCAGGCTGCCTCCCCTTGCTCTCAGCCTGCTCTGTGAGTGTGCTTGCACATCCAAATGTCACTGTGGCATCCCAAGGCGCTATTCTTAGGTCCTACCGAAATTCTCCCCACGGTTTTAAAAAAAGTAGCCCCCAAAAAACCACCCCAAAGGCGAACAGCAAGGGTCCCGTGGTGGGTTCAGTGTGAATTATGCTGAGGAGCATCTCTGGAGTAAACTTGGAGTAGAGGAGCACAGCAGCCTGTACTCTGGACAGGGTGGAGTGTGCTTTACCTGGCCAGGTGTGACACGGTTTGTACGTGGAGTTCCCTTATCTCGAGAGGTGCCCCATGACACAGAGCCCCTTCCCCTGTCCTGCCTTTAACCTTCTGCACCCAAATTCCAGCTCCAAAGCCTGCCCTGCTGGGATGCCACCCCAAAAATCCCTGCTCAGGTTCCAGCCCAGAGCAAGACCAGGAGCCACAAACCAGGCTGGACACCAGTGACTTCCCGTGGGTCCAGCACTTCTGCCGTGGCACTGCTGTTACTGGGGTGTGGGACTGGTTTGGCTGGGCTGGCACTGGGGCACCAGCTGAGCCAGGGGACACAGTCACACCACCCCCAATTGCCACAGAAAGCCACGTTGCCAACCTTTGTGTCAGGATGTGGCTGGCACACAGCAAATCCTCAGTCAGACATGAGGAACAGGCTGAGGGATCTGTTCCTGTGTTTCTGTGTTGGATTTTGAAGTGCTACCAAGAGCATTTTTGTCTAAAGTCAACCTGGGAGAACCTGAAATGCTTTTTTTTTTTTGCAGTTTTTACTGCTTTAAATGGCAGTTCCTTTGCCTGTTTTCCGAGTGTGCCGTGTCCCAGAGCTTGGCCAGGACTCGGTGTTTGTGTTCTCTGCTCCCAGTGCCCCCCTGGCTTTTCCACTCAGCCTTTATTCCGTGTAAACATTGCATGGACTGGATGCAGGTCACAGCCCTGAGCGTGACCTCAGGTGATTCCCAACCTCTGCCCAGCTTTTCTCATCCCTAGGGATGTAAAAACCCCACGGTTTTCCACCATTTCCCTTTCCACAGAAATAAATCCGTGCTGGGAGCTGGACTATCCATGGAGTGAGCGCCCAATGGTGACACCCTGTCCTTGGCTTGGGCTGGGGCTGATGATGGATGGGAACATTGAGCATGGATTATAAAATGCTGAAATGGGTGTTGCTCTGCGGAATAAGCAGTTCCAGTGCCTAAACCACCACAAACACAGACCCCTGCGAGAGAAACGGCAAGGGGTTAAACCTGGCAACGTTCCTTTGCCTTGCAGAAGGGAACATGGAGGATGCTGATTATTGTACTTGGGAGATTCACCCAGTGCACGCTGCGGGAAGCACTGGGGAAAGGCCAGGCAAGGGCTGCGAGCATGAGAACGGGGAATGGCGCCATCCCTGAGGGGAAGGAGGGGTCTCGGCGGGCACAGGGGATTCCCCAGGGCTGTGCCCAGGGTAGCCCCTCATGGCGCCGCCATCTTGCGCTTCCCCTTCCCCGCCGCTCTCCTTCCCCGCCGCCCTCTATGCAAATCACCCGCCATCCCCGCGCGCCGATTGGCCCCTCCCGCCCCATTGCGAAATATGCAAATCAACACCGGGCGCGCCGCGCGGAGATTGGCTGAGCCGCCCGCCCTCTGCCCGCACCCCGCCCTCCACTCGTGTCGTCATCGGCAGCGCCGGCTCTGATTGGTTGAGGCGCATGGAAAGCCGCGCCCTCCCCGGGGTTTGGGGGGGCGCGGGGAAAGCGCATGAAGGTTCGAGAACGCGGGGCCGGCCGGCGCTCTACGCCCTCTTCCGGCGCGCGTCACGCACGGCGCGGACCAATCACTGGCGGGAAGGAAGGCGGGATCCACGCTCTGATTGGTCAGAGCTGTGAGGGGGAGGCGTGGCCTTCTGGAAGGTTCTGGGTGGGTATAAAAAGGCAGCGCGGCAGGCGCCGAGCATTGAGCGAGCCGGAGCTGAGCTGATACCCTGCCCAGTGTGTGAACGAGAGACCGGGCCGGACTGCGGGTAACGGGGCTGAGGGGGCACCATGTGGTACGGGGAGGGCGTGGGGACGCCGCCGCATTGGAATGGCGTGGGGAGGCTGCTACCGGCATCTCTGAGGCGGCCTGGGAAAGGCGGGGGGCCCCTCCCGGGTGGTTTTATGTCCTGAGGGATGGTTCTACTCAGGGGATGGTGTGTGCTGATCGATTTGGGGCCGCTGCGGTGCTATTTTTTTATCCCTGTATTAGCACATTTTATTCCTAAATATATTCTGCCGCGGGAGGGGGAGGAGCGGGGACTCGGCTTTCTCCCCCCGCTCCCATTTAGTTTGTGCCGAGACGGGGGAGGGGAGAAGAGGGGAGGGCTCAAGGAGACGCAGCGCCCATCTTGCTTCGCTGGGGGGCGGCCTGGGGTGGTGGCGGGGCATAGCGGGCGCTGCAGTGCCCGGCGCTGAGGAGGGAAGAAACCGCGTGGGTGGAGAAC